CTTTCTTTTGACTCCAGCAACCCCAAAGAATTTGTTCTGATTCCTCTGGACCATGGGGGAGACTGATGCTCAGTAGAAGTTGCCTTCTCCCTTTGCACCAAAGAAACAGAACTGGGATGCTGTGGGGTGAAAGCAAGGGCTGAGGAAGAAGGAGATAGAAGAAGAGGGTCTGATGTCTTCTGCCACCAGCTTGGAACGTGAATCCTAGCTTAGGGCTACTTCAGCATTTTTCTTTTGCTTGTGTCCTTTCAGGTGAATGTTTAAAAAAAAAAATAAAAAAAGTTTAATAGTTCAGCTCGAAGTCATAGATTTCCAAGTGCAAAAATAGATAAAACTGCAGACTAACAAAAGCCTAGTAACAAACTAATGGAGAAGATAATTTAAGTCCTCAGCACTTCCTAAAGCAGGCAGCAAGTAAAACCAGGAGTGGCAGATGCTCTTCAAGGGTGGTGGTGGATAAAGCTGAGGTTGTGTTTAGTGGGGAGCTCATATAGTGTCCCTGGGTCCGTCCCCATCCCAATCTCACCCACGGGTGATTGTCCCTGGGTGTTTGCATCCCACATCGGGATCACACGTGGCTGCCCCATCCACAAGAACCAAATGTTCTGGATTTGCAGCGTGCAGTTTGCTGTGGGTTACTGGGGTCTGTCCCCAGCTTCTGAGACAAGACCACAGTGATGCTGTGGTCTGCACCAGCTTTCTGGGCTGCTTGAAGACGTTCTCCATGGGCTCGGAGCTTCTGTCCTGCTTCACGAGGACAAAACCCCTTTTGAGAGGAAGCTGACATTGCCACGGTGCTACTCGTGCCACCATAACCACGCATGGGTTTTTCTAGTCCAGAACAAATCCGCAAATATCCTAAGACTGATAAAATGGAAAACATGGGTTGGAGGTTGGAAAAACCTATATCAGATCTTATTTGTTGTGTGTGAATAAGTATACATCTACATGCAATATAGAGCTGAGGTTTTCGGCTCCCAAGTCGTGGGAAACGTCTAGACAGGTATTGCTCTGTCTGGAAGTACTTCGGTTCTTATTTACAGACTGCTCTTACTCATCTCTTCCTGCCTTTCCAGTGGAAACCAGCACTGGTAACAGCGTGACCCACAGCGGGTGTCAGGGCTGGGCAGCATCACTGAGCTGCCCCTTCTGATTTCTGCTGGAAAGAGCTTGTGTCCCCCCTTGGCTTCGCCAGCAGGTGACTGAATGTCTTGTGGCCAGCACTTTTAGGTTTTAATTTAAAAGCCCCTGAGGAAAGCAATGCCATTGCTTTCAGGTCAGGTGAAGCTATTTCTTGGAGAGGTTCACTGAGAACTAATTCTGACCCTCATCTATCCCCTTCTTTCTCCAGCAAGGTCGTAAAGACTGCTTCAAACCCAGCTCTCCTCTTCTGCCCTCACTTACGTAGCCAGAGCTGATTTACACTTTGGCCCCATTCGAGGTGTTTGGATAGTACATACCAAGATAATACATACCAGGCTTGTGCCAGGTGTGTGTTTCCAGATGTAGACCCCCAAACTGGCATCGTTTTCCAACTGTTTTGTCAATGGTGCCATTTCTAGTGCAGCCCTAGTGCAGAAGTAGCATCCAGTGCTGGATATCTGATAACATCAGCTGCAGCTCCTGCCCCTCTCTTGTAACCTTGATTTATGAAGCTAGGTGGTAAACGCAAAGGAGGAGGTAAGAGGAAGAAGTGAAAATGGTGTTAGCTGCTCTTCTTGTGGATGTAAAAAAGCCTGTGAGCAACACAGAGGCTGTTGGAGAGGAATTTCCTTCCATGAGGATGTAAAACCTTGCCTCAGCTCTGAATGAGGAGTCAAGACCTGTAGGGAAGGGAACAGAAAGGAAGAACAGGGGTGTGGGAGCATGGTGAAAAAATTAATCAGGCTTTTACATCTCTCTGGGTGTCTGGATGCTCTCTCATCCGTAGGCTTACCTCTCCAAGGAGGCTTGGATCCTGTTTGTGCTCGATTCTGCACTGAGATTATCAGGGAAAACAGAATTCTAGCTCAGCTGCACTCTTTATTTTAAATCAACAGCATATTAACCTGCTGAAGGAATAATAAACTCTACAAACCCTGTAATAATTCCTGGGCTTGTTAGGGGAGTGCCTGTGTGTGAATTTAATAAAATTGCCAAGAAAACCTCCCTCAAGTAGCCTCCAGTGTAGCTTTTTCTAATCCAAGAGCTCAGAGAAGGCAGAGCTGAATGTTTAAATTTGAAACCATCAATTTTACTTCAAGTTTATTATTACCACCAGCAGCTTGAATTGCTTACTTCTGCCAGATATCTGCAGTAGCCAGTTGAGAGCACAGCAGAAATAAAGACAGCCATAGGAACTCCTGAAAGATGCTGCTGCCTCAAAATCTTGTAGGGTTTTTATCCATCTAAACAGCTCGGAAATGGACCAAGCATGCTGCAGACAGAGCTCTGCGTGCACTGCAGGAGTAAATCCTGTAACATGGGTTAATCTGGCCCATGTTAGGGGGATTCCTCACCATGCAATGTAGCTTGTGCTACAGAAACCTTGTTTAATAGATCTAAAGTACGGCTGATGGGGAGATGCCTGGTGTAGTAGATTTGGGACTGGATCATTTCTTGTTGACCACCTGCAAGCAGTGCATTACCCCGGCGATGGGAGAACTGGGGGCGATGGAGCAGAAAGAGCATCTCAGGCCAGGCTTGGTGATGTTGCTGCTCCTCCACTGACTCTGAGCAACTTCATTGCTGGGCAAAAAAAAGCACCAATGGGGTCACTGGGTGCTGCTGCTTGCTTTAGTTTTGCCCTTTAGTGTGAATCTGGCATCTTCACAGAAGCAGCATTTTTGGCAGCACCAGCAAGCTATCACAGAGCGTGTTATATCTTTATCAGCCTCCCGATGCTCATTCATACCTTGATGCTGCCTGCCTGTGTTGACAGATGGCTTTGTCTTAAATTGCTTTCTCTCCTCGTGTCCTATTTTAATTTTTGTGCGTGTAAAATTTTCGTAGTCCAATTAAGCTGGAAGAATAAATCTTGTTCATTAACAGTAAAAGCTGAACAGTTTGGTCCTGTAGATAAAGCTTGGTAGCTGATGTGGTCTTCCCTTAACAGGTTTGCCCATGAAATCTTGGTGCTTTTGCCTTAGATGTAGTTTAGCACATCAACTTACAGCCAGGCTGATTGCCTATTAGTAGACAACGTTATATATATATATTTTTCCCCCTCTTTCTCCAAGAGTTCACTGCGAGGTTGGTGGCTCCACAGGACACAGCACCATGGGTTGAGCTGTTCTCCCACTTTAAGCCGTGTTTTACTTTTGTTCTTGCTTTCCTTTTCTCCCTCTGACTGTTGTGCTTAGCGGGGTGGTGATCTCCCACTGCACCTTAAAATAGACGTTGCTGCTTCTGTGTTAGAATTTATGTAATGCCTTTGTCTCCAAGCAGTGGGAGCAGTAACAAAAGGATGTGGCGATGAAATAGAAAACCCTGAAATAATCAGCATCCAGAAAGCAAAGTGCCTTGTCTGGAGGTGTTCACTGGGAGTGAGGAAATGGGGTGTCCAAGCCTGGAAAAGAGGAATGTTTCACAGTCCAGGCAGGGCATAGTGCTCATGGCCGAGTGATGTGTGCCAAAACCCTGGGAATGCCTGAGGTCCTGCTTGCCCAGCCCTAAAGAAGAATTCTTTATTCTTCCATCCCATAGACAAGCCATGACTGATCTTTCTAATCACAATGAGGCCCATAAGCATGGGGACAGGTAGGATTTTCCCCCTGGACTTCTCAGAAATGGGCAGCCCAAGAGCTGTGGTGACAAGCCCTAATCCTTGTAGGGCTCTTAGGGCTCTCCTGAAGGCTGGCACCCAGCTGCTTCCACCACATGCCTCAAGCAGAGGGCATCTGCTCCTGCCCAAGTGTGCCAGAAAGTACAGCTTCGACTTTGCCCTGTCCAGCCTAGGAGTTCTGGCAAAAGAATGATTAATGTTGCTTAATTAAACCATACTCGTTTAACTAGCACATTCTGCAATTGCAATGCAATTTGTCTCTTGGGTTTCTTGTGCACAGCAGTTTCTTCTCCGGCTTTTTTTTTTTTTTTTTTTTTTTTTTTTTTTTTTTTTTTTTTGGAGTGATTCTATGACCCAGAAAAGAAGAGATTGCATTTTACGGCTGCCTCTGATCTGTCCTGCTGGTGCTTTTATTCCCTCTGCAGGGAATTTTCTTTGTGCAGCCAAAAATCTCTGCTCTGGCTCAAATTAATAGGGTCAGGTCTGAAGAGATGATAATAAAGTTTTTCCTTTTCTGTCCAATTTATGAGCATCTTAATTTTTCGGTAATTTACGGCCAAGCTTGCACTAGCAGCCATTTTTAGCAGCAGCCTGTAAGATCTCAGCCCTTGCACAAGGCTTTTGCTGTTAATCGTGTTGTGTCAGGGGACTCGTCCTAAGATTAGACTAGTCAGAAATGCAGCAGTTGTTTTTGCTGCCTTCTTCCCTGGCAAATTCCACTGTACTACACCTTCTTGCAGTTTTTCCTTCTGAAAAGTCTATCTGGTTCCTCTCTCTGGGCTGTTCCTCCACACAGTAGTTTTAAGCCAAAGTATAATCTTCTCATGCAGGAAACTTGCTTAAAAAAATAAAATAAATAAAAGCCAGGTAAATAATTTGAGAAGCGCAGAACTGTGACACTTGGTTTAAGTGATATTACTGATGCTAGAGAAATTGGCTGCACTGCTGGTGTCGCTGTGTGTGTGTGTGTTGAATCCATGCTTTTGGCTTTCTTCTGCAAAGGGGATGGGAAATGAATGAACTGATGGAGCACCCACTGATTATTTCCAAAGCTGACCGTGCCGATACTGTCCCCAAGGTGGTGGTTGACCATTTTATGGGGCCAGGGGCTGGGTCTTGAAAGGGGTGGGCTCCACAAAGCATCTGAGATGGCTTGGGGGGGGGGCTTAACTGCAACCCCAAACCCTTCCAGCTGACCCACATAGTAAACACTCCTCTCTTTCTCTTTCAATTCTAGATTTTCAGAAGAGCTGACAAAAATGGTAAGTCTGAACGTTCATGTTTTGCTTTTTTTTTTTTTTTTTCCATTTAACTTCTGTCATTATTACTTTTTTTTTTTTTCCCCAGATGGTAACATCCAACTGTTTAAATGCCATTTGGTTTCCTGGGTCTGACACTGATGCTGTTTAAGCTTTGGAAGAGATTTTGTCATTTCTTTGGCTGAGGTATTCTTAGAGCAGACGTGATACTAGTGTGCAAGTCTGCGTGGCGATATCTGCCAAATTTGGGGCAGCTTTACAAGCCTGAAAAGAACATTTAAAAAACTAAACCACAGCTAAGTGATAAGCGAGGATCCTTCTCTTTGTAATCTTGGAGTAGCTTTGTAAAACGGGCCTAACCTGTGAATATTTGTAGTTTGGTTCCTGTTGGACTGGGCACACACATCAAGGGGCAGTATGCATTTATGTTTTTGGTTTATGCCTGTTGAAACCTGAACAACTTAGCCGAAGCCTGGTCTTGCCCTAGGGTGGGGAATAGCACAGAGGTGTCTCCATTAAATGGTTTGGGATCAAGAAAGAAGGGAGTGGGTCTGCTGTGAGATAACACAGTTACAAGAAAAACAGGCAGTGTGAACCCATTCAGCCCTGCTCCTAGCTAAATCCCGAGGGCCTGTCTCTATTCTTTCCCTTTTGCACAATGAGAAAATCAAATATACATTGAGACCGTGTGTGTTTGCAGAGGGATATGTGGGAGGCTGTGCAAGGAGCACGGAGGGGAGCAGGGTTTTTCCCCTACCAGATTTAAACAGGAGACACTCGATTTCAGAAAGAGCTGGTGAGGACTATCGCTGCCACTGGCCTGTAAGCAGTCAATGCCCCGACACCACAATAAGATCCTGAAATGTAGTACTCGACTAAGCTGAGCAATAACACAGTACAAGGAGATGCTGAGGGGGCTGACATGGGGGGAGCACCCTAAGTGATGCTTGCAGGGAAAAATGAACTCCTGCTCTTGCCACCCACGCTGCCATACTTCACGGCCTCCTGAGCACTTAACTGTTGCAGTGATTTATTACTGGAATAAAAAATAATAAAAATGTTACTCTGCTGAACACAGCTCAAAAGGATGCATCTTAACATACCGGTCTTGATGCAGTTATTTCCAGTGGCTGCTTTTCAAACTCAGCCAAACGAGGCTGTGCGTTTATTTTAGACACAGTTCAATTTATAACAGCTGTGATAGGACTGGAGAACCAGAACTCAGAGTGCAATGTTTTGTCTTGGCTCTTTTACCAAGGCAAAGAAGGACGAGGTACCCGGATGCTTCTCCCTTTGTAAGGTTCGAGCAAGTGAACCACAGATAACAGGCAGGATTTCTCAGGCTGTGTGGGGAAGGCAGACAGCGAGCTGCTCAGATGCAGCCTAGTGCTTAAAAGCATTTTCTTGTCCTGCTCATCCGACCGGAGGGAGTCTGGGTTTGGGCAAAGAGGTAGAGATTAGCACCCCAGAGCCGACCCTGGGGAGTCCATCAGCTACCCGCAGCTCTGAAATGCCCCTCCATGGTGACTTGCGTGGGCTGCCCTGCCCAGCAGATGTACCCAATGCTGCTTTTCAGCAGGTTTTCCCCATGTAAACCCATGTGTGGAGTGAGGGAGCCTGCACACGTGGCGAGACAGCTTTGGTAATAAGCGTTTCACACAACAGGAGAAAAAAAAAAACAACTGTTAATACTTCCCTTGATTTCCAGCTTATTGCTTGCCATCTGCAACATCTGCTGCAGAAATATGGGGCACACCGTGTAGTGGAGAAGAACTTCTGGCTCAGCAGGGAGATGCAGTTTTGGGGATGCTGAGCATCCAAGCATCTGTTCACCCCAACACGGGTGCTCCCCTGGGTGCTGTTTGCCTGAGCATCAGACAGGGATGCTTGCGTGGCTCAGAAAGGAAGCATTTCTTGTCTAGATCACAAAATATTACCACAAATGTGGGTCTCCAGTGATGTATCTGCCACCTGGTCACTGTTAGTGCTGTGGGTGTAACGGGGGTGGGATGATGTCCCAGCACCCAGTCGCTTTGTTGAGGTCTGCAGCCTTCTCTCGCTGCCATTGTAAGCCTCCCTGAGGCTGGCTGATGCCAGAGGCATCTCCCACCTTAGTATATTTAAAAAAAACATTGAGCTCAGAGGTGCATTAGGCATTGCAATATGGTCTGGGGAGGTAGCTCAGGCTCTGGGGAACCCACCTCGTGCTCCATCAGCTCCAGCATCACAGCTGGATGCAGTCAGTGTATAGAAGACAAAGACATGCAAACAGCTAGTAGGAAAGAAGAAACTGGTGTTAAAATGAATAATTTAAATGTGTAATATTAGTGTGTGACATGTCCTCACCTTACAAGGGTGCTTCAAGGAGAGAGATGCTAAACGTGGTACATTCCTGTGCTGTTCACAAAGCCAGGAGATCTCTGAGGAAGGAGTTTTCTGTATCTTGGCTTCTATTCCTATTCCTTTCAGTGCAGTCGGCCTCCAGCTTCATTGCTGGCCAACAGAGCGTGGTTCTCCCCATGGAGAGAGGCCAACGGGATGTACCTTTTCTTTTCCATGACCTGCTGTCACCACGTAGTCTCAATTCAGCTGGCAGCCCTATCCCTCTGCTGGCTCCTCGAGGTGAGGGGCCAGCACCTGCCACTCCTGGTGCCCTGCTTTGGCAGCTATTCATATTTGCCTACCTCTTGGCAATGAGGCTTGCTTCACTCTGTAATTAGCCCAGCATGTTCCTCTGCAGCCTTCGGGGGTCACGGCTCCCCGCAGACACCCCTCCAGCACCCCATGGCTCACAGCAGCTGCTGCAGGAGGCGTGCAGGGATATTTCTCTCCCTGTGCCTTCCCTGCAAACCCTGGCTCAGAGGTTTCCAGAAGTAGCAGTAATTTCTCTGTGTTTTGTATCCCAAGGGATAGCCTTTTCATAACTTCCTCTGACATCCTGGCCTTTAATTTATTGATTTGTTGAAACTCAGCTTTCTTTTTCAGCAACTTCATTGCTTTACCATTTACAGCTCCGAGGATCAATGGGAGCATCAGCTGACTGCTTTCATGTCCCACCAAGGGCTGCCCATGTGACATACACAGACTTCTGCTGAAAAAATGAAAGTCTCACATTTTAGGTTTTTCTCTGAATCCCAGGAAGGGGTCCTGAGCTCTAGACAGGCTGCAAAAAACAAAAGCTCCCAGGTTCTCGAAATATCATACCCTGTTACCAGGCTTTGGCTGCCTCCACACCTGCGGAGGCTCTTGTCTAGCAAGGACTTTGCTCCCTTTAATTAACCATCTGTGACAAATCATTAGCAAGCACCATGTGACAGCAGCACCCCAGGGATGGAACTCCCAGGGTAGGCAGTGCTGGCAGCTCCATCCTAAAGCAGCAGCTTTTGCTTTCCTCAGTTGTGCTAAAGCTACTCTTGGAGATGAGACCTATAGAAATAGCAGGGAAGAGCTCAACTTTTGCCTTCTGCTTTAACTGCAGCAACTCATTTAACTCTTTCCATCCAGAGATTAGGTGCGTAAAGGGTTGGCTCAAGTGCAAAGTTGTTGTGGCGCCCTCAGGTGAGGGTCTTTGCAGAGCTATGTCCCTGCTGGTGCATGCCTGCTGGTTCTGACAGCAGTGTGAGATGAGTTTTGGGTGCTCAGCTATGCTGCTGAGCTTGTTCCCATCTGCAGAACGTAAAAGATTTGCTCAATAACTGCCTCTCCAATTGAAATTGCAATATAGACGTTCCCATGCTACTCCTTTGTGTTATAGGCTTAAGGAGTTGTTTTATTTAATGTGCAGCCTCTGACAGTCAGGAGGTCTTGCGTTTGGAAGTTTTTTCAGTGTCTTGACACTTTTCAGCCTGGTAAAAGCAGTGTGTGTGTGGTGTTAATGCAATGTGGCTAGTTTAGGCATGGTAATTATGGAGCCTGGCCATGTGAACCCAGAGCTTCTCCTCCCTCTTCTTCCTTCCAAAGCTCCTCGGCATAAATTATTAATTTGTGTGAAATAGGATGTTCTTGGTGCAAGATGCTAAAATATATTATTGTTCCTGCCATGTTTAGGTACTTGTTCAAAGGTGATTTCACCCAGTGCCTACATGTACTGGGAGACCTCTAAGGAAGCAGCTCTTGCTCACTGAAGGACATCTTGGTCTCCTGCCCCAGAGGAGGACTGAGACTGTGATGAATACGAGTTGTCCCCGACCTTTTCCCCATCAACAATACCAAGCAGCTGAATTTGCAGCTTATCTGTGTGATAAACTGAGCAGTCTGGGTAGCACACCTTGAAACAATGAACACGTTGGAGATGTCCGGATAAACTGGCAAATGGCCTGACAAAAGGGAGACGGGCTGGGACGTAACCTTCTGACTGAATAATTTAGCTATCTCCAGTCGTGCTTTGCAGGGGCATGGCTGTCAGTCACTTGAAATAATCTTTTTTCTTCCATGTAGGAGTGTTTTTCCTTTCCCTGCTAATAAATCCACCTACTGTCTTGTAATCCTTCTAGTCCCAGTAAACAATACTTAATCATTTAATTGGCATGTGGTGGGAAAAAGGAGGCAACTTGTTTTAGGCTCGTGAAGCTGAGCTGTCCATCATCTGAGGTATCTACTGTGTACTTTAATCCTCTCTTCCGAAAGCTGTTAATCAATTATAAGTTAAATAGCCCAGCATTCACTTTGAAAGATTAAGATGGTTTTATTTTGACAGACCAGCCTAATTGCTAACGATCAGTTATAAAAATGTTCCTCCACGGAAGCAGGAGTTTTGTTATCTGGAAATCTCCAGTCCCTGCAGCTACCCAGCTCCCGTGGCTGGGGTAACTAAACGTGACGTGCATCCCATACAAGGTTTTAAATGCTGGCTATGTAGCAGCTGGCTGAGAAGATGTTGAGAGGGCAAGAAGCTGCCATTAGCCATGGTAATCAGAACTGCTGATCAATGAGCTGACTGGACGTTTTGCTGCAAATAAGGCCAAGGCTATGTCACCATTAGCAAATAAATCCTGTCCCCAGTA